ACAGGTGATCACCATTGAATATCACTGTAGAAAAATATGAAGAAAATTAGGGGTGATACAATACATAATTATCATTAGTTTTCTCAGTTATTTTTATATTTTAATTTCAAATGTTCATCTTTGACTTTGAGCTTGTTTGCTATTTATTTATTTTTTATTTATCGACTTCTAGATAGCTATTTCACCTGTCTATAACTTGTTAGGAAAACCGATTTCCTTCGTTTTTCCACTGTAGATGGCTTACTATTACCCATTTCAACTGTATTTTAAATTTCTTTTAGCTTTGTATCCACTACCTTAAACTATTTGTTTTGTTGTTGTTTATTAGAGAGAATACATTTGATAAAACATATAACCATATACTTTTGAAATATGTAGATAGATAGATTTTGTTCTTTGAAATTGGTTCTTTGCTAAGTTATCTGATATGTGATAACAATGATTCATCTCTTGAGTCAGGTGCCTTTTTATGACTGAATGACTCACAGGTCAGTGTTAATATATTTTTATATATATTATATAAAAATATACAATATATATAATATAAAGATCTTCAGGTACAAGAACTGAAGTGAAAATGAGTGAAAAAGCAGAAAAGAAATGTAGAGAAACGAAGTGTGGCTAAAAACCTTTGCTCTATGCTATGCAGTTTGCTGTATCTAGTTATGATAATAGGTGGCAGCATTTCACTTGAGGCAAGATGCCACCTTCGAAGAATGGGCGAGGAAGGAGAAGAAGAAGAATTCGAATCACGTGACTACTGTTGAACCAGGAAGATCCACGGTGTTACCAAAACAACTCAGGACTACCTTGTAGAGGCGCTACAAATAACTTCTTAGTCGTCTCCTGGTATCATCTTCGCTTGGACATGGATGGTATGTCGTGTGTTAACTTCTGAATTGTCTGTCTGAGTAGCCTTTGGTTCTTTATTTTAGCCCAAGCGCCAGACTACGTTAGATAGCTAAAATTAGCGCTTTAGCTTGGGTGTGTGGTTAGCCGGGTTAGCTGTCTGACCTGTTTTTTGTTGGGGTTTTTTCCGTTTATCACATTTGACGTCCACTGAGTTTACGGACTCGTTATTAAATGGGCCTTTGGTTTTATTGGGCTGTGCCAGAGTCTTTTCTTAGCAGTGACTTCTACAGTATGAATGTGATACAGCAGCCAGAATTTGATTGGAACAACTTTGACAGACGGAGACACATTTCATCGTTCTCCCCCGGTTCTGTTAGATACAAGTCATCGCTATAAAAGAAAAAAAATAATAACACAAGAGCTTCCTCTTGCCTGCTTAAACGCTAAAAATGTGTTTCTTTAACTTATATTTATGCTTGTACCTGTTCTTACAGATATAAATATAACTCAGACATTTGGTTCAGTTGGCTTGATTTGGGGAAAAAATGAACTTAAAATAAATATATAAACGTATTTCCGGCATCTACAACCGTCCGCTGTTTTCTACATTATCAGTGTTGTTAAAGTAGACTTGTTATACTTGATACTTACTATACTTACTATGATTTATTATGTGACATCGGTTAAATAAAACTGCAGGCTGTTCTTGATGACATCATACAGATCCAAAGGTCGGAAAAAAAACCTGCCTGAATTTGAGTGTTTAATTAA